CTTGAAGTTACACCTTAGTTTATGGCATTAAGAGAGTTAATTATTAAAACATCAGGGAAACGTTTATTCTAGCTGTTTTCTCTCTTGATGGCTAACTCGATATTTCGAAAGTATAAGCTACTGATGAGGTTTAGTACAGTATTTTCATCACCACGAGGTCAAAACTGAAAACCCATGGAAACATGTCTGGGTTCGTATCATCTCAGGTCAAATTTTCGAAATGTTCCTTAAAACTTTTAGCAAGTATTAGAGGAAATGGGCTGCTCATGGGTGCTCTTTTGGCTTTTTTTTAAAATTACCATCGAAGGAAAAATAATTTGTCTCTACCTGCAAAAACTTATTAACTTTATATTAGAATTATCTGATAGATTGGTACTTGAAGAAACTAACAAATGATTATAATAGCAAGGTAAACAGGAATATTAATAAATAAGTCGTTAACGTCGTAATGACCACAATGATCCCTTCAAATGGTTTAATCGCTCACAGTTGTTGCAAAACTTGTGGGAGATTTTGGTGTAAAATGAGTTTCTTTGCGATCAATTTCGAGATGTCTGCAAGAAAAAAAAAGTTAACAGTAGAGACGATGGGTCTAAAGGGGACACTAAGTTCTTGTCTTTTAGATAAACAGTAAAAGATATGGTTACGGCTGAAGGTGTTTCTTGAAGTAGAAGTTGAGATCTACATGTCATTAGACAATGCTCTGCGAAAGTGCTCGAAGTTTATGGACATGAAAGGAGGTTAGGTGTATATGTGGAAGGACAGAAGACATAGAACATGTCGTGATATTTATTTATTTAACTTTATTTATCTAACTTATGTATAACTACCACGATATTGCCTTAATTTGTCCTCTTAATTATAATGTTACCGTTTACTTTTAAAAAAGTAAGTAAGGGCTTTAAATCCTGTTGCGATAAAGGACGGTTTAAGCGGTTTAGTTAATCAACAAAGGTTTAATATCCTCTACGAATGGGTTTATTAAACCGTCATTAAGTTAATGAAGGAACTTGAATTTCTATGCTGAACAAAACGAAAATTTCTGTAACTTTCAGATGGCACTTGAGATATGAGTCGAAACATCGGCATTGGTCAATCATGTGACTGACCGCATTATTTTTTGTGTTAGGTATTAATAAACAGTGTTTATGCTGTTTTTCAGTATGACCACCGACGCACGAACTAAATTCTCTAATGTCGGATACATCCAACAGCATTGCGGTTCATGCGCCTCATTATCCAGAGACCTAGTAAAAGAAACGCGATGGTAGTCAAAACATAAGAACGGTGTATTCTTACTTCGCAGATGCTGAGACGTCTACCTGGTCCTTAACTTCCTCCTGATACAAATGTCTTTCCGAACCTCAGATAAAAAACCCTTATACTTATGACCGTAATAAGAAGACTGCAAAATTCTCTGTCCTCATGACTTCTGTGTAAAAATTTCGTAAATCTGTTTGATAAGTGAACACACGACTGTTCGGCAACACGATGAGCTTTAAACTGAAATTGTCAGCCCTCTTCAGCAATTAAACTCACCCATCAATCCATCACACATACAGGAGGTCAGCAACCTCACGTTGCATTGCTCACAATTTTTTCCTTCAAAATTTTCGACCAGCCGCCTTCTATATGCAGAACAGCCGTGAGTTCATAAATGATCCAAATTTTGGATTTTTGTTCATGTCACCCACGACGATAAGTGTATTTAAATTTCTATGTAATTTCAATATCTGCAATAGTCAATTACAGTGTTTAGCACCTTTTTTGTTGTCTGATGTAAATATTGCGGATATACGTCATTGTCATGGCTTTAGGACCTTCATAACTTTATGTGCTTTACGATTCATAGCGCTAGAAACTGAGGTCGTTGTCACACATTAAGCCATATCAAATTTTTCTTAGGCGATGACAAATACAACAAATTAGTGCTGAATAAAACTCCTTCCAGAATTTTAATTTGGGTGGGAGAATGCGGGAATTCATAAATTTAGAAAATGGTGCTACGTGGAGTTTTTGATGACTCCAGCTGCTCAAAGGGTATCGATTTTTCTTTTTCTTCTTTTACACTCCAGCAAGTATAGACATTCCTTTTGTCCGTGGGTTGTTGTTCTGTGTTCAAAGAATAAAAGTCTAAGAAAGACTTCATCGTTCTTCCTTTGACGATTAACATACAGCCATATTTTGAAGAAGTAAACTTAAACTTGAGTTCATGCAAAAATACGTCTATCTGGAACACCTCATCTCTGGACCAGAGAACCTACTAAATGAAATCAACAAAAATGTAGAAATGGCATGGAGCACTCAGGGAAACTGCCCTCGAGCTTGAATCAGAAACTCTTCTACCAGTGTGTTCGCTTAATACCAACTTAATGGATGCGAAACTTGAACCATAAGGCTCAAAGATGTTCATAAACTGAAAATTGTGCAAACCAACAGTGTTTAAGTTGGAAAGAACAAAAAATAAGAGAAAGGACCAATGGGTTGGAGCACAAGCAACCATCTGCA